TCCATATATTATAAAGGAAAAGAAAGGGTCGAATTGCTATGCAATTGCTACAGTAAATGATCCTGATGTCCCAATAGCTACGTTACATTCATCAGCACTAACCCAATATGAAGGCGAAAAGGAATTACCTCTTTATCCTAAACGTAGGAGAGGACGTCCATCGAACAGCAATGCTAATAATCAACAACAAAATCATCAACAACGTCAACAACAACAAAGCCAACAACAAAAAGGTCAACGTCAACAACGACAAAGCCAACAACAAAGGGATCAACAACAACAAAGCCAAAGCCGCATTCCACACCAACAAAATCTACAACGAGACGGACAACAAAGTCATCAGCAACAAGACGGAATACGTCAGCAACAAGATGGACAACGTTATCAACAACAACAAAGCCAAAACCGCGCTCCACAACAACAAAGTTATCAGCAACAAGACGGAAGACGTCAGCAACAAGGGGGACAACGTTATCATCAACAAAGCCGTCAACGCCAAAATTCCAGAAATCCAAAGCAAGGTGGACAACGCCAAATACTACAAGGAGAGGTACAAATCCAATCACAGCAAAATTGGCAACAACAAACCAACCCACATTCACAACCACCAGCCTTGAGGAGATCTTTGCGTTTGATGAATCGGAAGTGATAGATTCCTGTTCGCATCATCGGGACGATTAATGCAACAGAGGGGGAGGTTGTAGCAGTCCATTTCATCAACAACTCATTATTTATTTACATTACATTATTGCACTAATATTGGAATCGATATTTATGCTAAATACATTATTATGTTAACTAGACTGTTAGGTTACATCCTGTAAAGAAAGCTATGTTAGCCAGTAAACAACACTAACACTAGTATAACAGTTTATAATGCTTTCACTCAAGATAGTTATGCTTCTTCTATCGCTTAACGAAGAAGGGCAACTTATTGTTGTTGTAATTGCTCTCATTTATTAATATTTTTAACGAAAATCAATATTTATTACTCAATTGATCTCAATATTTAATTTTACGCTCACCCACATATACTTAAATTACTCTCATGTTTTTATGCAAATTATGCTCTCGTGTAATGATTATGCTACAATTTTAAGTTAAGTTCTAGACGATGTAATTGATTTGACTAATGGTTAGCTGGTCACAGAAATGATGTTGCATCGTTCTATTGCGATCGAGCTGCGAATAAAAAAGGTTTGAATTAAAAACAAAGTGTTTTATTTTTGGAAAAACCAAATAAAATAAAATATATGCTAGACTTTGGAAGCCTTAAGGCTACAACAGCAAGCATCCTGTAGACGAATACTGTCAGAGTTTGACTTATTCCGTCTCAGCATAAATAATAAAATTAATAAAAATACAATAAAGGGTGATTTTTCCAAATCTGGAGATTTCTCCCCTTACATATTTTATTTTTTTTTATAAAATTTTATTCGGAAAATAAATAAACTAAAAATGTTATATGGGTTATAAGATTATCCTCAGTATCCGGATAAGCTATAATCATTATCTACGTTGTTCGGATAATAAAAAAATGCATTATTCAGATTATCCGTTTTATCCGAATAAAGTAAATATGGGTTATAAGATTACCCCACTCTATCCGGATAAGCTAAAATCATTATCCACCTTATCCCGATAGAGTAAAATCATTATCCGGATAAAATAAAAATTTTACAGACCTTATTCGGATAATGCAGAACATTATCCACGTTATCAGGACACTCTATAAACATTATCTGCGTTATCCGAATTAATTCAAATCATCCGGATATGGTTCCAAGTCATCTGGATATGGTAAAAACCTTATCTATGCTATCCGGATACTATACAATTATTATTCATTGTATCCGGATAAAGTAAAAACATTATCGACGCTTTTCTGATACCCTAAAAATATTATCCATGTTATTCGTGTATTCCTGACAATGTAAAGACGTTGTTCTCATTATCCGGTTAAAGTAAGAACATTATCCGCGTTATCCGTATAAACTGAAAATATTATGAGCGGCATCTGGATAAATTTAGAACATTGTCCGCGTTATCTGGATGAAGTAGAAACATTATTCGTGTCACCCGGATAAAATTTAAACCTTATCCACGTTATCCGGATATTGTAAAATCATTATCTACATGATCTATGTTATCCGGATCAGCTGCGGATGCCGATGTTATCCGCATTTAGGAAATAGTTAAAATGTTTTATCCGTTTATCCGCGGTATAGACAATTTCCCAGAACTTATAGGTGTTTCCTAACTTCTTTATCCACGTTATCCAAGGGCTCTTAATCGATTATCCATTTTATCCGAGAGTCTCAAAACTTTATCCGCGTAATCGCAAGGGTCTAAATCGTCTATCTACATTACCCAAACTTTATCCAGAGCTTGTAAATCATTTATCCGTGTCATCCAAGTTCTCTAAATCGCTTATTCACGGCTTCCAAATTGCATAAGTGTTTAAATTCTTTATCCGCATTATCCAAAGCTTTTCATATTATCCAAACAGTTTAAATACTAGATCCACATTATCCGAGATGTTTCAACTGATTATCCGCGTTATCCAAATGATCAAATTCGTTTATCCCTGATATCCTGGTGTCTTAAATGGCTTATCCGTGTTATCCAAATGATGGAAATCGTTTATCCACGTTATCCAAATAATCTAAAAACTTTATCCGCATTATCCAAGTGATCCACGTTGCTTATCCCAGTTTTCCAAATGCCTAAGGACTTCATCCGCGTTATCCCAGGAATCTAAATAGACTATCCTATCCAAAGGGTCTAAAACTTTTATCGGTATTATTCAAATTCTCAAAATCGCTTATCCACGGTATCCACATAGAATAAATGTTTTATCCGTTTTATCCATACATAAATTGCAATTTATTTATCCGCGTTATCCAAGTGTTCTATATCGTTTATCCGCGTTATCTAAATAACCTATAAACTTTATCCGCATTATTTAAGTTGTCTAAGTGGCTTATCCGTGTTATCCAAATGCCTAAGGATTTTATCCGACTTATTCCAAGAGTCTAAATCATCAATCTACATTACCCAAACATTACCAAAAGGGTCTAAAACGTGTATCGGTTTTATCCACGTGCTTTAAATAGCTTATCCATATTATCCACTTGGCATAAATGTATTTTCCGCATTATCCTAACGGTCTAAATAATTTATCCCCATTATCCAAACGCCTAAAACCCTATCCGCGTTATCTTAAGCGTCTAAATAATTTATCCACATAATCTGAAAACATTATCCGCATTATTTATATGGTTTAAATCACGTGTCCTCGTTATCCAAATAGTCAAAATATTATCTCTATGTTGTCCAAGTGGTTGAAACCAATTATCCACATTATCCGAACATCTTAAGTATTTTATCCGCATTATCCGAAGGGTCTTAATTGCGTATCCGTATTATCCAAGTGTTCGAAATTGATTTTCTACCTTATCCAAATAGCATAAATACGATATCCCGGTTATCCACAAGGAATAAGTATGTTATCCGTGTTATCCAAAAGTGCTTAATCGCAATATCCGAGTTGTCCAATTATTCGGAATGCTTTATCCGTGTTATCCTGTCTTAATAACTTATCCGCATTATCCAAATTGCTTAAATGCTTTATCCGCATTATCCGAGCACTTTACATATTTTATCCGTTTTATCCAAGTAGCATACATTTTTATCCGTCATATTTGAATAGTCTAAAGTGTTTTATCTGTGTAATAGTCTAATATTTTATCCGTGGTCTAAGTGACTTATCCACATTATCCAAGTAGCTTAAATGCTTATCCACTTTATCCGAACACTCTAAATATTTTATCCGCTCTATCCAGTAAATCCGCAGTAAAGTAAAAAATTTTTATTCGTCTTATTTGAATAGTCAATATATTTTATCCGTCTTATCCAATCAGTCTAAATGACTTATCCGCATTATCCGAGCACTGTAAATATTTTATCCGTTTTATCCGAGCAGTTCATTTTTTTATTCCACCGTAATTGAATAGTCAAAATATTTTATCCATGTTATCCAAACCGTTTAAACTATTTATCCATGCTATACAAGTAGCCTAAATGCATTATCCGCATTATCCAAAAGTATAAATTTGTTATCCGCATTTTCAAATTGGTGTACATGTTTTATCTGTGTATTATCCGATCACTCGAAATGTGTTATACGTTTTATCCATGTAGCCTACATTCGTTTATCCGCATTAACTGATTATCTCTAAACATGTTATCCGCATTCTCAAAACAACCCAAAATCTCTATCCACATATTCAATATGTTATCCGCATGATCTGAATAGTAAAAATAATTTATCCGACCTGATTAGATAGTTTATACCCATAATGTACAACTCCTATTTTCCTTATTTCCCTGAAATACATTATCCTCCAGTATATCCAAATTTTCTTATGAAATTCTCCAAAACTAAATAAAAAATAATATTTTATTTTATCCAAACCCCATACCTAATTAATTATCGATTTCCTAATGGAAAAAATAGTTCGGGCCCTCTATTTATAGCTACAAAATTTCCCTATCAATCTTCTTACACACTTCACACTTCTTATCTTTCTCCATTTGAGTTTAATAATTTCCATATTGTCATATTTAGCTGTCTGGCCCAAGTTACGATAACAACGACCCTATATTCTATGGCTGCCCCGACTGTCACACGGTGATCTATTTTTAGTGACACGTCGTGGAAGTTTTCCTCTACCTCGAACTTTTGCAAATAATTAATGACGGGGGGAAAATCGTAAAATATTATCGAACTAGCATGTTGCTGCTGCTGCGTGGGAGCGGAACTACTATGGTGGCCTCCAGTCGGCAGGTGGTCAGTTGTTAGTTTTTTGCCATAATTTCTAAGTTTTTTTTTTGGAAAATAATTGTTGTGGATTTTTTTTTTCAAAATTGTTTTCTAATTGTTTGGTTTTTTTCTTTTTTCAAAACTTCTTCTAATTGTTTGTTGTATTCTTTTTTTCTTTTTATTTCATTTTACTTTCAGCGATGATGACTTAAATTTCATACCACGCGATAATTGGACACGCATGAGTCTGAGACGTACGCCCACCAAGTAAGTAATAGCCATTAGCCGAATTCGAATTACGACATTTGATAAATTAACGATTTTTTTTTATTTGGGTATTTTTGATTTTTCTAAATTATTTGCTAGAGAGTTTGAAATTTTAAAAATTTTTAAGTGAAGTTGTCAGGTTTACACCCTGCTCATGTCAAAATTTGGCAATGCCAACTCTCGTTAAATTTTGTCAATTTTTTGTCAGTCAGAGTCAGTAGGAGAGTTTTTTCTTTTTGATTGTCTCATACTTTTATTTTAAATATTCGTTCGGTTTTTTGTTTGTTTATTTGCTTTGCCTGTTTTCGTTCAAGTGTTGCTTTATTACCGGTTTTCAATTTTTTTCGTTTATTTTCCCCCTTTTTTTTGAATTAACGTCTGTCTCTCTCAGCCTGCCTGCTACCTTTGTTTTAGCGTCAGTATTTTTTTATTACCATTATTTGTTTAATTTTTTTTTCGAAGGGGGGAACTTTTTTCTTTATGCATTTTTGCCCAGGCTCTCTTGTTCTCTCTCTGTATATATTTCTCTCTCTCTCGCTCATTGGTTTTTTTCTGTAAACCGGTTTGCAAAAAATTTAAATCTAGGCTTTACGGCTAACCAAACATTTAGCTTTTTTGACGTCGTCATTCTCACAACAACTACAACCTCATCATCGTACTCTGACGCTACTTGACCCAAACTATCCGAGTCGTTGGGTACCATGCAGTGCCACCATATTGGCCATAAGTAAAACCCTCAACCAGCCAATCAACAACAATCATCGCCTTTCATATACAATTTTTTTTGTCTCCCCTACCTGATTACCTCTTTTGTTTTTGTGTGTTTTTGGGTATGAGTCAGCCTTTCGATGTGCTCTCTCATCAGCATTCCCCACAAAATCTTGGCCAGCTACGTCATAGCCACAGCATTATTTATGTTTCAGATGTTGTGGATGTTGTTTTTATCCGATGGCATCAAAACAGTGTCAACAATATGCTCCCAATATATAGTGGCTATAAGAGAGAGAGAGAGAGAGTGAGAGCTAATGTTGTAGTGAGAAGACACTCTCCCTCGACTCTTCTCATTTCAATGTTGTAGTGTTCTCTTATACCATAGGTGCCCAAAATTAAAATGCGTTAGTATGTGTGAGAGAAAACAGAACAGTACTGAACAAAATTGTGTGTACATTTTTGTGGTCGGAAAAAATTATTGATGAATTTAATTTTTGTTATTATATAAAATAAAAGCATTATTAAAAATGTTTTTATATGAATTACAAAGTGTATATGTCATAAAAATCTAATAAAGTTTATAAAGTAGCATATACCGAGATAATAAACATATTATAATATTAAATAATAATATTAAATACTACGATAATTATCAACTATTTAATTCTTTAAAAAAAAGAAACTGTTCTGTTGTTTTAAAAAATTTTTAAACATACAAAACGCATTTTGTATAATAAAATAAAAATCCAAATATACTGAAACACTTTTATCCCTAAGTGTTATTTCGTTGATTTTCTAGTTCTGCGTGTGTTCATTCGTTGCCTGTCAAACAACGACTGACTGAAAGAGCATAACAATGCGTGTGAGTAGGCAGCTACTTTAAAGTATACTGATGGGCACCTATGCTTATACACGAACGTTTTTTGTACAGTACAATGAGAGAGCGAGCAAACGAGAGAGAAAGGTATAGCATTTGTATAGGTTCTCTTAAATTGTAGCGTAAACAGTGTTGCCACTTTTGGCGGATTTATACCCAAATTGGGATTTATGCGTAATTCTCATGGATGACTTTAAATCTAAAATAGGGAGCTATAATTCCAACGTCCTTCCAACAATGGTAAAGCATGGATACGAAGTTAACAACAATAACGTTGAGCGACACATAGAACTGTGACAAACATTGCAGCTGGTCATCGGATGACTTCATCTTCCTCCACAACAAGGAGATTCATAAAATAGATCACATATGCGTTACAAGAGAAGATGGAAAAGTAATCTGTCAAGCGTCAGAAGCTCGGCTACATGAGGGTCTGACATTGATAATTGCCACGAACTCATCATAATCGAAATTATAATCAAATAGAAATTCCCTAGAGGAAAGCTCAGGCGAAAAATAGTTCCATACCAAAACAACCAGAGCCACCCCAGCCACTACAATACTTACCTAAAAACCAATATAATACATGGGAAGATATCACATTAATATATTACCAAATTGCGGAAGAATGGAGGGCTGAATCTAAAAACAGAGAAAATTTGGATATCAGGCGACATTTGAAACCTAAATTTCCCATAGAGAGATCTTAAGATTCTGTTGAACAAACAGATATCACCCGCTGCTTCTCAGGTACTTGCGTAAACATGCCTTCAGGTTGAGATGTCCTGTGAGAATATCCCATACTATTTTAGTGTTCTTTACAGTCGCCTCGTTATTGCGAAGATTTCTATGAGCCTCTTTCATTAATTATGAGTTGCGCTAAAGGAAAAATATTTAGAAAAATCAGTCATGGCAGAAACGGAACTGAAAATTGCCCTGAATATATCCTGTAGACCTTCCCGACTTAAACGAAATAAAAGAGAAACCTCGAACAGGACCTCGAGATTCTGCCTCAAACTTCCTTGATGAAAGACACCGTTGAGAAGTTGCGCCTAGTACTTAAAGTTGGGTCGTTCCGAAACGAACAGGACATCTCAATCTGAAGGCATATTTTTTTTATTAATTTCTCTTTCGAGATGAGCTACATGATCGAAGTTGCAGTGAACAAGAAAGCCACATTGTCCAATATGCTTGATGAGCCGTCGCATAATGGTGGGAATGTAGTATCTCTCTGGTTTTCCTATTCATTGCAACTTCGATCATGTAGCTCATCTCGAAAGATAAATAATTAAAAAGAAGAAAAAAATTCTCAAAAAAGAAAAAAAAAAATCAGCTTGAGCCCGGCTGGGATTTGAACCCTGGTTACCTTGGCATCTGTTGATTGTTGTCCGGCACCTTAGCGTTGTGTACCATTGAAGAAAAAGATTTTAGTCTGTATGGAAAAAAAGTCCGTCACTACAAGAAAAATCTGCTCTGAAAAGGAATGTTCTGGTGTGATGCCAAATGTCCGAACCTTGACACGGTTGAATTTAATTCGTAGATGCAATTTCGCAACAATATTCGATACAATGCAACTAACCAGGTAACGACATTTGTAAGCCACATTGCCCCATATGCCTCATGAGCCGGTTTACCAACGGCGAAACGCGTCGCATAATGATGGGAATGTAGTATCTCTCTGGCTTTCCTTTTCATTGCAACATCGATCATGTAGCTCATGTCGAAAGAGAACTTAATAAAGACATTTATATGAATGATGTTTCGCCCTAAAAAGGCATAAAACTAAAGGCATATTTACGCAAGATCAGGTAACTGAGAAGCAGCTGGTGATATTTTATTCCAATAAATGAACGGTAGGAACTAGGTCCAATTCTAGGGAGCAAAGGAAGTATATTAAGGAACTAGAAAGATCGCTCCGCTCCCTGAACCGGATTGTTCAACTGTAATACTACCTTTTGGGGAAGAAAAGTAACGTTGTGAAGATGGTTCAATTGAAACTATTTCGCAAAAGGAAGGATCGGAATCAGGTCCGTTTTTTTGTTCATTTAGTTCCTTGATTCAAACACTCATGTAGATTAGTAGGGAGGTCTATATATATGAGCTGTTTGCGTAGTTTTCGAAGACAAGGTAAAGCGTGGATCTAGCAAGCTGCGAATATTGAAGTTGTCAGGAATCTAGTAAACATATTTTTTATTCGAACAATTTTTAGTTTTCTTAATTTTTTGTAGAGCTTATGTTTAGATAGCTTCTTTATATTTTAGCATACTCTTATCCTTATCATATTTCGATATATTTATTTGAAAAATATTAAATATTTATTTTGTTTTTCTTCTTTTTTATCTCATTTCTTTAATTCACCACCATTGCCATGCCACACACAGAAACCCGGACAGTTTAGCCAACCGTCGCTGGGGATCAATGAGACAGTAAGCTCAAGATTTTTTACAAAATTACTTTCATTGATTTAAATGTGGTGTAAAGGGTTATTTTAAAGAAAAATAAAAGAAATTATTAAAAATTTGTAAATATGGTTCACGAAAGGGAATTCTGGTGGTAGTAAACTCTATGTAAATAATTTCAAAATTCTTCTTTTCGAAACTAAAACAAATAATATAGATTATTATTATTTATTTAAAATAATATATAAATATATATATTTTTTGCAAATATTATTATTATCATGATTTCATACATTAACCAAATCATAAATTGTCTGTCATCTCAAAAGCATAATCTCATCGTCACCCTAACACTGAGTCAATATTCCGACTTACGCAATAAATTTTGTGTGATTTGATATTTTGGTTCTTATATCCTTTTCATTGCATTTCCTTATTTCATCAGCAAATATGTTTATTTTTTAAATATTTTAATAATATCCTTTAGTAAATGTCATCAGAAGCCATAGATGACCTCATAGCTCATTATCCTAAAAAAACCCCCCATTTGAAAATATTTTTTTGAAATTTTATACACTAATTCAAGAATGTTACAAAATTTCAAGTGAAAATCTCAAGAACTCTTGAAGATATAGCCGATTTATTGTGTCAGCATCAAGTGACGGCTAAAGGGTTTCTCAAACTTTAAACGCGTTTTTCTTTTTTGCGAATGGCGGGCACGATAACTCAAAAGCGAATAACCCAATCGATTCCAAATTTTTACACATTTCTCTGTGAGTGTATAGCTATCGTATGAACTAGGATAAAGCCAATCGGTGAAGATCTTCCTTACTTTTTAACTTGGTTTTTGGTCAAAAATCGGCGATTTTCCAAAAATATTTTTTCAAAGGTCCGCCATTTTGTTCATTTTAGAGCGAAGTCAATAATCCTAGTTCATACGAGAGCCAGACATGTACTCTTTCTAACACCGCTGAAATTTTCGGATTCCGATGTTCCAGTGAGGAGTTATCATGCCCGCCATCAAAAATAAGGACTTTTCTTTAATTACAAAAAACAACAACAAAGCAATAACAAAAATTTGTTGTAAATTATTTTTCTTCTTTTTTAAATCTTCAAATATATATGTGCAAAGTTACAAACCTTAACAAGCATTGGTATTGATTTACCAGCCCATTGAAAGTTCTGAAAAATTTCATTTAAACTCCTTCTTAAGGTCTCTATTTGATAGAATCTCTATTTTCTATTTTCTCTTTTTATAGAGTAACCTCATGAATGCCTTCATAAAGTTTTCTTTCCGTATAGGACACCACAAAGGGTTTCTATTATTCCCGTTATTTTTGAAGGCCTCTTTTTATTTTTTTCTTGCAGTAGATAGTCTCAGCTCAGTTATATTTTTTCTAATTCAGAATACATAAGACCTCCTTTTTTTGAAATAGAAGAACTTCTTAAGGTATTTTCGATAGGACCACCTTTTTATATTCTCTTCTATAGGGTTCCTTTCCAAAGACTCCGTTTTCTTTGGAATACGCTATAAGGCAGGGACGTAAGCAGGGGGGCGGCCCTGGGGGCCCGGGCCCCCCCGAAATGAATTTTTTTCACAGTAAATTTATGTTTGCAACAGCTAGTTTTTTCATTTTGTACTACCGGACTTCTGAAAGTCTTCTTTTATAGAACACTGTTCCAAGGCTATATTTTTTTATAGAAACCCATTCAGATGTCGTAATTTATTCCTTAGAAGACCCTTCCCAGACCAAGGGCCTTCCTCTTATCGAAGGCCTTGTATAGGTGATATTTTCTTTACAAATTGTTCTGAACACCTTCCAATGCCTTCCCTTCTAAGAAAAAATTTCCTCTTCTATGGAAGATTCTCCCAAGACAACCTTTTCAAATTTTCTATCCTTTAGAAGACTAGAAGGTCTTTTGAAGGTCTTCTACATCTCTCCCTTCAGTAGATCGCCATAGAACTAATTCTTTCAGCTAATTGCATTTTTCTTGTATTCTCTATATGACCTTCGTTTCGATAGGACCCTTTTCCATCATGAATTCCTTTCCGAAGTCTTCTCTTCTTTAGAAGTCCTTCCAATGTGTTTCTATATTATAGCTGACCTTCCCGAGGTTATCAGGCCTCAGTCGCTATGAGGCGTTTTCATTTATAACAAAACTTCTGAAGCTCTTCTCCTATAGGGCTTTTTACTGTCACCTATACTTTAGAGGATCCTTCAAAGGTCTTTTCTTATACAGAGATCTTTTATTTTCTACAAAGCCTTCATTTTTATAAATGAAATTTTCTGAAGGTCTTCTCTAAAGACAACTTTCGATGGGATCTCACTTCTACAGAAGACATTCCAGTTCCTCAAAAATTCAAAATCCGTTGTTACATTTTTTTTTATTCTCTATGAGACCTCGTTTTCTTTTACAGAACAACTACTTAAGGTCTTTTCGATAAGACCGCTTTTCCATCTTCTCTACAGTATCCTCATCAATGACTTCCTAAAGACTTCTCTTCCAAAGGGTGTCTATTTCATAGCTGATTATCCAGAGGTTCTAAGTTTCTAGGAAGCCTGCTCTTTCGAAAGGTCTTCCCTTATGGAGATCTTCCAAAACCCTATTAATGTCGCATATCCCATAGAAGGCCATTTAAAGTCCTTATCTTGCATTTTTTGAATTTTTTTTATTCTATAACTCTTCTAGAAACCCTACTTTCTATATAGAAAAACTCTGCTGAAGGTCTTCTCATAGAGACGACAATCTCTGTTTTTATAGAAGACCTTCTAGATTCGAAAAACCCTACTTTCTATATAGAGAATCTCTGCTGAAGGTCTTCTCACAGAGACGACAAGCTCTGTTTTTATAGAAGACTTCTAGATTCGAAAAATGTAATTTTTTTTCTTTTCTATGAGATCTTCTCTTTCATAACAGAATTTCAAAAGGTCTTCCTTTATAGAGATCTTCTAGAACCCTTTTGAAAGTCGCCTATTCCTTAGATGACCCTTTAAAGTCCTTCTCTTCCATTGGCGACCCTACAAAGGTCTTCTAGTTTCTATAAAGCCTTATTTTTTGTACATAAATTACTGACGGCCTTCTCATAGAGACGACAATCTCTCTTTCTGTAGAAAACCTTCCAGCTTCTCTAAATTTCAAAATCATCCCGACAAGAGCCAGCCTCTCTTTTGCAGCTAAATTTCAACTTCTATTTTTTTGAAATTCTAGATCAGTAAATGTTTCTGGTTTCTTCTGATGGAGATGTGGATATAAATGGCTGCTTGCCACAATGTGGCAATGTGAGGCAGCAACAACAATTACATTTTCACAAAAAACCGCAAAAATGGTAACAAACAAGAATTTGACACGACACAACAGTGGTAGCGAACATTACAACAATAAAGACTACAACAACAACTACAGCGACAAAAAAATTGATGGCAAAAGGAAACCTTTAAAGAATTGCCACCACAAACAACAAAAAAAGTGGAAACTTGTTTTGTGGCATTCAACAGTTTGTTGAAGCGGGTTTTATGGCAAAAAAGAAAAAAAAAAACATTTCAATTGCATGACAGTTTGACTTTTTGTTTCCTTAACATAATAATTTAAGCCGAGAGATATTCAGAAGAGGGGGTACCGGGGCTACACCACCAGCTGAATGATGTCTTTGGTTCGCTTTCAAAAACAGAGGGGAAGAAAGGCAAACCAGGTTCGCCAGAAATTCCTTAGCCATGACGCATTCACGCAGGCGCAGTAAATCATGAGCAACAAGCTGGCCATAGCCAACGATGGTGGTTGTAGCTGATGGTGGTTAACAACATTTAACCACTTTACTGCCATCTCCGGCATATGGCTTTCAGAAGAAGAAGAAAAAACTGTCATTATTCCTCATCTCTTGGCCAACAAGAATGATAATCATCTTCATCGTAATTATGAACATTGAACATCATAATCATCTTCGTCATAATGCGGATTCATGGCTTAAACCGCAGAGAAAAAGACATCCAAGAAATGTTGTTTTTTTATTAGCCTGGCTAAAATTTCTAAAGCCAGAACCAGTTTTAATTTTTCAAAAGCATAACTCTTTGGGGTTTTTATTCTTTTTGCACAAAAGAAATTTTCGTATTTCTTGGCAACATGACCAACTGATGTTAGGGTTGTTGTTGTCATCGTGGTTCTGTAAGGCGTTGGCTTAAAGCACAGAAATGGTTTAAATGGTTGTTGTGTTCCAAATTCTTGGTAACAGCGGCGTCACCAGAACTGAAATTTGTAACATTTCAATATCATCGACAGAGATGAGGAGGATGGTGACGTTGTGGTTCTGTTTGTTTTTGTTTTTTGTGCCGATATTATCTCTGGAGCTTATATTTATGTTATGCCCGAACAGAACACAAAAACAAAACATTCCTCAATAATAACTTGGCCTAAATATTTTTTGGCTAAGCAATGGGACAGTTGTGATGATAAGCGAATGAAGAAGAAAAAATTCTGTTATGACATTGGCGTATATGCTATGAGGAGATTAATAATGTGGTTATTAAAAATTGATATATAAGAGGTTATTTACTCTATAGAAGCTGCTATAAGTGGACATCTAAATTATTGTAGAGCCAAGAATAGGTCATCTACTTCATAATAGAGAACATCAGAGCTGATCTAATTGACAATAGAGGGCAGCAGAGGTCATCTGCTCTATAGTGGAGGTTATTAGAGGTCATATAATAAACATTAGAGGTCATTTATTCTTTAGTAAGATTATCTCCTCTATATTAGAGGTCATCAGAGGTATTTCTCTCTATAATTGAGGTCATCAGAGGTCATATCCTCCATAGTAGAGGTCATCAGAGGCCATTTACTCTATTGTAGAGGTCATCAGAGGTTATTTACTCTATAGTAGAGGTCATCACAGGTCATCTCCTCCGTAGTAGAGGTCATCAGAGATCATTTACTCTATAATATCTCCTATAATAGGTCATCTACTTTAATGTAGAAGCCAACATATCATCAATAGTTGAGGTTATCAGAAGTCAATTTCTCTATAACAG